ACACACACACACACACGCGTACACACACATACACACATACACACACATACACACACGTACACACACACACTCACCCTCACCCCCGCTCACGCACACACCCTTCCTCCAACCCTCCATTCTCTCTCACTCTCTCGTGACTTTACACCCTCCCTAAAACGCCCACACTTCGTCTCTTTCACTTCGGCGACTATAAATTACGTTTCGGTCAAAGATTATTTCCTTTTCCGGTCCATGGAGCATTTTCGTCCTCGGGAGATCGGTCACGTGACAAGCCAGGGGTCATGGGGGGTCGTACCGTCTCTTCGTTCCTGCTTTTTCTCTTGTTTTAACTTTCTTTCTGCCTTTTTTTATTCTTTCTCTCCATCTTTCTCTCGCTTTTGTTTTGCTGTCGTACTATTTTCTGTAAGAAAATAGTGTTTCTCTCTTTCTCTCTCTTTTTGAACTTTCTCTCTGAAATTTCTTTCCACCTTTCTCTCTCTTTTTAAAATCTTTCTTATTCACTTCCCTTCCTTCTTCTCCCTTTCTCTCTCTCTCCACCTCTCTTTTTGACCATTCCTTTCCTTCCCCATTTTTGTGTACATTCTCCTTCCTCTTCTCTTCTCTCTTCTTCAGTGTTTTCCTCACCCTTTCTCTTTCATTTTTCCTTCTCCTTCTTGTCCCCCTCTCTTTCTTAATTTTTCCCCCATCTTCCATCTCTTTTCTTCTTCTCTGTCTCCCTTTCCCTTCTCTATTTCAACCTTTTCCGCCGTTCACAATCTGTCTTGTTTCGCCTCTATTTTAGGAGTTATTCTTCATTTTATTATTATTATTATTTCATCATCCCCTTTTTTAACCACTCTTCTTTTCCTCTTCACTCTCCATCCACTCGTTTTATCGTTTCTCACTCCTTGTTCCTTTTCTTTTCCTTCCCTTTCCCCTTCCACTAAACATGCCTCTCCCATTTTCCTTCCCCTCCCCCTCCCTGCTCCTCCCCGCTCCCCCTCATCTATCCCCCACCCCTCTCACCACCTCCCCAC